CCCCACGGACCTTTGCAATTTGACTTAGGATCCGAAGGGTGAGAAAACCCCCCCCCCATGTAGGAATTGAGGTAGTTGAGGGATGTAACAATTCACTAACAAATGTAATTAGTATTTAAATTACAATTTAATCAAGACGTTTAGAATAAATATACAAAAGAGAAAGAATAATCAATGTGATCTGATCGGAGGTCAGTATTAGACTCTACTGACTATAATAAATCGCGTAAGACGGGAATTTGGATACACGTGACAATAGGTGCGAGCGAGAGGTATTTTATACTGGGCACGTGACAGAGCGCGATGATGTCACTGATGTCCAGTCGTCTCTCAGCGTTGTCGTATCCGTGCATCTGTTACGCGTTGGAATGTGTGTAGCGAGACGCTACATGACTCCCCTGCTTAAGTGAAAAAAGGTAATTTTTCAGCACTGCAACAGAAAAAGATTAATCTCGGAACAGGTTAAATGTAATAAGCAGGTGAAAAAAATTTTGATGAGGGAATTTAGACAGTATAGACGTGGATTGTCGGTCTGTTCGCGAAGTTTACGCGTCTCCCCGGCCTCTGAGTGTTGTCCGCCGTGCTCGGGCTCGGCTGCGGCGGATTCTGTTGTTGTTGAGGCTCTTCTGGTGCGTCTGGCGGTGGAGGCTGTCCTTGGACCTGGTCCATGTCCTCTGGCAGTACGTACGCTGGTTTCAGTTGGTCGATGGAGATCGGTGTATTCTTGTAGTTACCCAATCCTCCGGACTTGTACCAAATGACGAAGTATTTGTCATGACGACTCATTACGCGGCATGGGCCGATATATGGTGATCGGTATGCCTTTCGCACGTGGTCATCGCGGCCAAAAACATGTGTACACGTTGCTAGATCCTTGAAGATGAAGGTTGAACGCNCTTGATGAACTTCCGGTAGAAATTTAGAGTTTCGAGGTATCTGCGTAGCGATTTGACCGTTGTTGACCTTGTGAACTCTAGGATCGCGTTGACTCGATCCTTGGGGGGTTTAATTCCTTGAGCGTTGATCACGTGTCCGAGGAAGAGTACCTCTGGCTGTCCGAGGACTGATTTGGCGACGTTGATTATCAGCGCGTAGTCCTGGAGTCATTGGAAGAGGATCCTCAGGTGCTTGCGATGTTGCTCCGCGTTTTCTANTCGGTGCGATCCTGCGGAAATGCTCGCGTAGATTTCTCACCAATTCCGGTCCTGCTGCTTGTTGGTTCGATGGGATGAGGAATTCTCCGGATAGACGGATCGGTTCCTCGTATGTTAGCTCGGCGGGAGTCGTTTGAAGGTCCTCTTTCCATGCGGATCTCAACCCTAGAACTACCAGGGGAAGTGCGTCGTACCAAGCTTCGCCATGACATCGCAGTGCTGCTTTCAGTTGGCGATGTATTCTCTCAACCATGCCGTTTGATTGAGGATGAAATGGCATCGTCGTCAACCTCTCGGTGCCCATAATTCGCGTAAGCTCCTTGAAGGTGTCTGAGAAGAATTGACCGCTCTGATCAGATGTAGTTTTCAGGGGTATGCCGAAGCGCGCGATCCAGTGATAAACGATCGCGTTGACTACTGTTGGCTTCCTCGAGTCGACCAGTGGAACTGCTTCTGGGTATCNTACCAAGATGTCGTCTATGTACGGGAACAAAAATGGTAGATCGCGTGTGAACTCGTTGATCAGACGTTGGAATGTTTGAGCTGCGTTTCTGAGGCCAAATGTCATGTATGGGAATTCGAAGAGTCCAAATGGCGTGATTATTGCCGTTTTCTGGATGTCTTCGCGTGCCACTGGAATTTGGTTGAAGGCTTTAACCAAATCTATGGTGGANTCGACGATGGTCAAGCACCAGCTGTGTCCTTTTGAGGCAGGAAGAGAGACTAAATCGACGTGTATGTGTTCGAATCATCGTGATGGTGTCTCGATGCTAGCTATTGGTGTGACCGTGTGTCGCGTTATCTTGTTTTTCTGGCTTCATGCAGTGTTTGGTCCATTGTGCACAGTCTTTGTTTATGCCAGGCCACACGTAGCGTTGTGTCACGAGTTTTCGCGTGCCTTTGGGTCCAGGATGAGCCATTGAGTGCAGTGAGCTGCAGACCTGTTGTCTCAGCGGAGCAGGAACGTATGGGCGAACTGTACCTGATGATACATCACAGTACAGTGGTTCGTCCATTCCTGGGAGTTGTAAGCGGTCCAGTCGCTGGTTCACGTCCGGTCGCTGGAGTAATTGTCGGAGTTCTTGATCGTCGCGTTGGGCATCTACCAGCTGCTGAGGTGTGACGGCAGTCGTGATTTCCTCTACTCGTGATAGGGCGTCTGCCACGATGTTGTCTGGGCCCGCGACGTATCTGTTGTCCGTGGAAAACTGGGCGATGTAGTCCAGTCTCCTGTATTGCCAAGGTGAAGCTCGTTCCGGTTTCTGTTGGAACGCGTGAGTTAGCGGTTTGTGATCGATGAAAATTATCACATGTCGTCCTTCAAAGATGTGCCTGAAGTTCAGTACTGCCTCGTAGATTGCTTGCAATTTTCCTGTCGTAAGCCGCGTGTTTCTGCGAAGAATTTCCAAGTTTCTTGCTGAAGAAGGCTAACGGCTGCCAGGAACCATGGTGTTCCTGTTGTAGAACGGCGTCGATCGCGTGATCCGACGCGTCTGTGAAGATCGCCCACTCTGCCTCGATATTTGGATGAGACAACACAGTGGCGTCTGCTAGCGCTTGGTTGCTGCGCGTGAATGCTTCTTCAAGGGCTGGAGACCAGGCTACTGGTTGCTTTCCCTTGACGTTCTTCCCCTGAGTCGCGGCGTTCAGCGGGGCGAGGATTTCTGCTGCTCCCTTGATGAACTTCCGGTAGAAATTTAGAGTTTCGAGGTATCTGCGTAGCGATTTAACCGTTGTTGACCTTGTGAACTCTAGGATCGCGTTGACTCGATCCTTGGGGGGTTTAATTCCTTGAGCGTTGATCACGTGTCCGAGGAAGAGTACCTCTGGCTGTCCGAGGACTGATTTGGCGACGTTGATTATCAGCGCGTAGTCCTGGAGTCATTGGAAGAGGATCCTCAGGTGCTTGCGATGTTGCTCCGCGTTTTCTAATGCTACCAAGATGTCGTCTATGTACGGGAACAAAAATGGTAGATCGCGTGTGAACTCGTTGATCAGACGTTGGAATGTTTGAGCTGCGTTTCTGAGGCCAAATGTCATGTATGGGAATTCGAAGAGTCCAAATGGCGTGATTATTGCCGTTTTCTGGATGTCTTCGCGTGCCACTGGAATTTGGTTGAAGGCTTTAACCAAATCTATGGTGGAAAAGATTGTTTTGCCATGAAGGTTGGCAGCAAAATCTTCTAGATAACGAACATGGTACTTATCTGGTATTGTCCTCTCGTTGAGTGCACGGTAATCACCGCATGGCCTCCATCCGTTGTTGCCCTTAGGGGCCAGGTGGAGTACGGATGCCCAAGGACTTTCAGATCTCCTCGCGGTTCCGAGCGTCAGCATGCTGGAGAACTCCGCTTGAGCGGTTTTGAGTTTATGCGGCGCTAGGCGGCGAGCTCTGCAGGAGATTGGTGGTCCTGGTATTGTCCTTATGTGATGAACGGTGGAGTGCTCCGCTTTTCTGAACAATCCTCCCGGTTTTGTTATTGCTGGGAATTCTTTGAGGATCGACGCGTACGGTGAATCCTCATTGACCTCGAGGAGCTTGACAGACGTCACGCGGAATCGCGCGGACTGGCCATTCGATTGGAGGCCTGTCGGGCTGTCGATGATTGCTCCCTTTCTCAAGTCCGGTAGCAGACTGAAGTGATGCAGGAAGTCAGCACCGATGATGGGTTTACTGACGTCTGTTTCGATGAATCGCCATGTGAAATCTCTACGNTTGCTGCGCGTGAATGCTTCTTCAAGGGCTGGAGACCAGGCTACTGGTTGCTTTCCCTTGACGTTCTTCCCCTGAGTCGCGGCGTTCAGCGGGGCGAGGATTTCTGCTGCTCCCTTGATGAACTTCCGGTAGAAATTTAGAGTTTCGAGGTATCTGCGTAGCGATTTAACCGTTGTTGACCTTGTGAACTCTAGGATCGCGTTGACTCGATCCTTGGGGGGTTTAATTCCTTGAGCGTTGATCACGTGTCCGAGGAAGAGTACCTCTGGCTGTCCGAGGACTGATTTGGCGACGTTGATTATCAGCGCGTAGTCCTGGAGTCATTGGAAGAGGATCCTCAGGTGCTTGCGATGTTGCTCCGCGTTTTCTAATGCTACCAAGATGTCGTCTATGTACGGGAACAAAAATGGTAGATCGCGTGTGAACTCGTTGATCAGACGTTGGAATGTTTGAGCTGCGTTTCTGAGGCCAAATGTCATGTATGGGAATTCGAAGAGTCCAAATGGCGTGATTATTGCCGTTTTCTGGATGTCTTCGCGTGCCACTGGAATTTGGTTGAAGGCTTTAACCAAATCTATGGTGGAAAAGATTGTTTTGCCATGAAGGTTGGCAGCAAAATCTTCTAGATAACGAACATGGTACTTATCTGGTATTGTCCTCTCGTTGAGTGCACGGTAATCACCGCATGGCCTCCATCCGTTGTTGCCCTTAGGGGCCAGGTGGAGTACGGATGCCCAAGGACTTTCAGATCTCCTCGCGGTTCCGAGCGTCAGCATGCTGGAGAACTCCGCTTGAGCGGTTTTGAGTTTATGCGGCGCTAGGCGGCGAGCTCTGCAGGAGATTGGTGGTCCTGGTATTGTCCTTATGTGATGAACGGTGGAGTGCTCCGCTTTTCTGAACAATCCTCCCGGTTTTGTTATTGCTGGGAATTCTTTGAGGATCGACGCGTACGGTGAATCCTCATTGACCTCGAGGAGCTTGACAGACGTCACGCGGAATCGCGCGGACTGGCCATTCGATTGGAGGCCTGTCGGGCTGTCGATGATTGCTCCCTTTCTCAAGTCCGGTAGCAGACTGAAGTGATGCAGGAAGTCAGCACCGATGATGGGTTTACTGACGTCTGTTTCGATGAATCGCCATGTGAAATCTCTACGGAGACCGAGATCTGGCGAGATGGACATGTAGCCGTACGTGTCGATGAGGGTGCCATTGGCCGCGAAGAGTTTATAGCCACTGGTCTCCCATTCGCTTGGTGGCCGCCTGCAAGGCGTGACAGAGACGTCTGAGCCTGTGTCCACTAGGTATTGGGTCCCAGTCGTCCTGTCGGTGATAAATAGGCGGCGGGATTGTGATTGAGAGACGACTTCCGCCACTATTGTCTCTCTCCGGCGTTTCCCTGAAACTTACAACCAGGTCGACAGTTACGCGCATTATCACCATACTTGTAGTGATACCAGCAGGTGTCAAAATCCTTTGATACTTTCCTGGAGCTGGAGCGTCGGCGTGAGTTGTTGCGCTGCCCACGTGAGTACTCTGAACGTGTGCGTGAGCGCGAGCGTGAGTCTTTCACTCGTAACTCTGCGACAGTTGCCGTCAGCTGTTCGATTCGCTCGAGGAGTGCTGCGTTGGTCGCGTTGCCTGCTGAGGTGGTGATGGCTGCGACGCTATTTGGGTGAAATACCTCGTGCACCCTGTCTGCTAGCTTCGCGAGATCATCAATGGAAGCGTTCTCCTGGGTAGCGAGTGTAGCTCGCGTTTGCTCGGGAAGATGAGACAACCAGCGCGTTTTCAGGACCTCGTCGTCAATGCCTGGAACAAGACCTTTTAAATGTCTCAGGTGCTTCGACGGAGTTCGATCCCCAATGCTCTCCCTGTCGAGTAATCGGATGATGTTCGTAGTCCTGGATTTTGTGAAACATCTGATTAGTTCGTTTTTTAATGTTTGGTATGGATTTGTTACAGATCTGGAGACAATTAAATGTTCGACTTCTGCCTCGTAAGCAGTGTCAATCAGCGGTACCGTTTTGTTGTACTTATCTGACTCGGTGACGTATCCCAGATCAGCGAACTGTGGCTCCTGCTGCGCGAACCACAGCGCGGGTTTGTCCGCGTCCAACGGCCTTGCGATGAGCTTGGGCCTCATTATAGCCGTTGCTGTCGATACGGTGGGAGTTGTTTGGATGTCAGCTGCTGTTGTCACCATGTTGATTTTATTTTATTTTATTTCAGAGAAATAAAATCGATGAATTTTACTTCACAGCGCGATTAAGCTTAAGGAATAAATTTGTGCGAAAAATAAAGGCTGTTGTAGCCTTTATTTGTCACCAACACACCACAACGTCTGTGTCAATTGCCCAACATAACGTCTGTTCGGCAATGTGTCGGCGTGAGGTCACAAATATTCACTCGGATATCACTCTTATTCGGTTTGTTTTGGTTCCGCGAGAACAATGGGAAACCAAGGTCTTGACGCTCGGACGGTTGGAATGTTCCAGAAATCTCGAGACGCCGTCGTTTAAAACCGAAGCGTGGGTCACACAACGAAATTAATTATTTTCAGAAGCGCGCCACTTAACTAGAATGCACTCGCGGGATTCACTGCAGCACTTGAAAAACTGAGTCGCGCCTGTTGTCCGGAAAACCGGATGAGAACGCGTGGACGAGACAATGAATTTTTCAGTTGCACTGCAGGCGCGCGAGACGCGAGGGTTTTCACTTTTGTCGTTTAAAACGTCGAATTTCCCTAATTAGATCACGTCGGGGTCACCAACGTAGGAATTGAGGTAGTTGAGGGATGTAACAATTCACTTACAAATGTAATTAGTATTTAAATTACAGTTTAATCAAGACATTTAGAATATATATACAAAAGAGAAAGAATAATCAAAGTGATCTGATCGGAGGTCAGTGTTAGACTCTACTGACTATAATAAATCGCGTAAGACGGGAATTTGGATACGTGTGAACNATCTGGAGACAATTAAATGTTCGACTTCTGCCTCGTAAGCAGTGTCAATCAGCGGTACCGTTTTGTTGTACTTATCTGACTCGGTGACGTATCCCAGATCAGCGAACTGTGGCTCCTGCTGCGCGAACCACAGCGCGGGTTTGTCCGCGTCCNTTTAATGTTTGGTATGGATTTGTTACAGATCTGGAGACAATTAAATGTTCGACTTCTGCCTCGTAAGCAGTGTCAATCAGCGGTACCGTTTTGTTGTACTTATCTGACTCGGTGACGTATCCCAGATCAGCGAACTGTGGCTCCTGCTGCGCGAACCACAGCGCGGGTTTGTCCGCGTC